CTAGGCAGCCCTGTCCCAGTCACACCAGCTGCTGGGGGGTTGGGGGGGGGGAGAGAAGAGAGGCACGAAGCCAGGTAGGGAGTCTGCTGGCCCCACCAAGCCCTCCCGGTCCCAGCACCAGTGCGGGTCCCGAACCATGAGCCGCCACACCCCTCCGCCCCCAGGCCGCCCTCCCCCAGGACCCACGGCACCCCCTTGCAGCCGCCCACCCAAGTTTTAGTCAAGGGTATATAGTAAAAGTCATGGACAGGTCACGGGCCGTGAATTTTTGTTTACTGCCTGTGACCTGTCCATGACTTTTACTAAAAATACCCGTGACTAAAATGTAGCCTTACCCCTCATGTACCAAGAGCGCAATCTGGGCTGGGGAGGACACGGAGAGCACATTAAATAATGTGTCCATCTGTTCCTCCATCTCCTCCGCCTTGAGGCCCAAGTTGGATGCCACCCTGCGGAGCAGCGCCTGATGCTCGTGGAAATCGTCTTGTGGGCTAGCTCTGGAAGGCTCTGCCACTTCCTCATCTGGAGAGGAGGATGACTGGACAACAGGGGGAGGTCCGGCAGCATCCCCACCCGTCGGGGAGGGCGGCCTTGGGGTGGGTACCGGCTCCTCACCCGCAGCAGCCATCAGGACGTCCTGCACCGAGCCTGGTGCCATGGATAGTGGGGGCACCGCCTTCGGCCTGTCTGACTCTGCGACCGAGGGCTGGAGGGAGTGGGGCACCAGCATGACGGGAACACCCCGTGCATTCCAATAAGGCCATTGTGTTGGCCACTGGCTCTGCTGCCAGGTTGGCACTGATGCCGCGGATGCACCCTCCAGAGCCCAATCACGTTGCCTGGGCGAGGGGCTGAATTGTGCCTCCGAGCCTGAGAAGTCGTCACCCTCCAGCGACTAGGGCAGGGCTGTGGAGGCTTGAATGACGGCTCACCGTCACTGCTGGAGACCGGTGCCAGGAATGGTCCGACCAGTGCCAGGGGTAGGTGGAGCGGTGCCACGTGGGGGAACGCCCTTGAGGTCTTGGCAACGGCGACCAAAGGCACGACGAAGACTGGTGCCAGGAAGATCAACGACACCTGGGCGAGCTTCGGCGGCACGATGGGGATCAGAAGCGCAGTGCTGATGACTTGTAGCAGCGAGCTGGAGACCTGGGTTGATGCGGAGACCAAGAACATAGCGACCTAGGGCTCTGTCCTGGCTCCGGAGGCGCTCACCTGTTTTGTGCGAGGCCTTGCCGGTTGGCTTGCCCTCGCAGGGAGCCTTAGCCAGTTCCATAGCCGCACACGGTGTCAGCTGCGGCAGAGGCGCTCTCAGATCTCCAGGCGCTGGGGCCTTGGAGGGGATCGACTGTGCCATTGGCCTAGGCCCTTTACCACTCCCCAGAGTCAGTGCAGGCTCCTTTTGGGGGGGCAGGGGGGGGACTCCACAAGGCCGAGCCCTTTAGCAGGTCTGGAGTGGCGTACGGCCCGAGCAGGGTCCTTTGCCCAGAGCCCCTTGGTCGGGCTTGTTCAGTACCGCTTTCTTAGTCTTTTTCTTTGGCACCAGCAACAGGGATCAGTGCCAGGAGGATCCTGGGGCCGGATGTGCGCTACGCACCGAAGTTGAAGCGCTGGGTGCTGGTTCGAGCCGCACCGCTGTAGTAGGAAGAGAACCTGAAACATAAGCCCTTGTATCAGAGGCCTGGCATGAGGCCTGCTCACAGAATCTGGCAAGAACAGGGCTGATATTGCAAACATACACATTCCTAAGACGTGCTAGTCACAGAATCCGGACGCACACACATCCCGATATCAAGGATGGTACAAAAACATTCCCCAAGGATAACTATCTAAGAGGCAGTACTGACTTTTTTGTATCAGGGGATAAAGATGCATCTCACAGGGAGTATCTTTGTCCAGCCGAGGAGGGAAATGGCAAGTCCTGCCATTCACTGAGCTGTGTCCATTGTCACGGGCATACATGTCTTAGTATCCTCGTAGAGCCTGCCAGGTGCTTTGTCGACAATAAACCTGGCCTGGCGCCTTCGTACCTTAACGGATCTTGTGGTCATCGTGTGGTTCGCTCGAGGTCTGCTGTGCTGTCTGTGCAGAGCTGGGGCAGCAGACAGGGAGAACACACATACACAGCCAAACATCTAACCAGAGCCAGCTCCGAAGCGAGGCACAGGACAGCCTGCATCAGAGGGCCGTTCTCTTTGTGTCCACGGACAAAAGTTCTGGCAGATGCAATAGCATTCCTTTATATGGGTTTCCCCGAGGCACTGTAGAAAACTCTCTTGCGGGTCACTAACAGGCATAGGCCTGTTACACGAAGAGCAGGGCTTGAAACCCGGAGCCCAGGGCATGCCCCGCCAGGGGCAAAGTCCCCACTGGGACTTTATCTAACTAACACTTAACAGGTACGTAAGAACTAATAACGATTAAACTATTTACAGGTAAAGCACAAGGCTAAGCTAGACGAGAAACCGCTGACCACTTGCAAAGCAAGGGACACAGGTGCTCTGACTGACCACCACGGGCGGTAAGAAGGAACTGAGAAGGTGCAGGGCTAGCAGCGCCTGATACACCGCACCATGAGTGCGGCACTCCAGAGGGCGCCACAGCCGGCCCTACGGGTACCGCTAAGGCAAAAATCTCCGACGGCCGTGCACGTGGGTGCGCACACACCTACAATGGAATAGACAAGAGCAAGCACTTGAAGAAGAACTAGACCATCCCTGACAGCTGTTTGTCCAACCTATTCTTAAAAACCTCGAGTGACGACAATTCCACAACTTCCCTTAGAAGCCTATTCCAGAGCTTAACTACCCTTATAATAGTTAGAAAGGGTTTCCTAATATCTAGCCCAAATATTCCTTGCTACAGATTAAGTCCATTACAGTACTTCTTGTCCTACCTCCAGGGAGCATGCAGAACAATTGATCACCATCTTCTATAACAGTGCTTAACATTTTCTCAAGACTAAACATGTCCTGTGTTTAGAAATCACACCCCTGGAGAGCATATTATCCCACTGCATGGACAAGCCCTTAGATGACTCAGCTAAATCTATGCAAAGCTCTTCATACAAATCCGCTTGGGACTAATAAATGGTACACAGGCTACTCCTAACAAACAAACAAGGTTAATGCTTGCACAAGGCAGGTATAATATAGAATCCAAAGCTGTTTAAAAAGAAAGGTCTGGAACAAAGACTCTTGAATATTTAATATAGTACAACAGCACTTAGATTGGTATTGTATTCTGTAATTCTTTCAGTTTAAGTCTTCACCAAACAAAGGTAAATATAGAAGCCAAAAAACATTTTTTTTAAACTGAAATATAGTGCAGCAAATAAATGCAAGTAGGCGATACCAGTCAGTCCCAGGAGGGCTGCTTGCTGTGCAACATGGAGCAAAGACTATCTTGACCCTGCTAAGTTTTATGACCAGCCTTTTCCATAATGAGGAAGGCCTAGAGTGATGGAATAAACTCTTGCAGCAGCAATTTGGACTGTTAATAGGTTCCTGAGGGTCACACTCATAGGTACTTTACAGTTCTCAAACTGACTGGTTAAGGAATTGTATTTTAATTGCTGCATTCTAGTTGTGTAACTAATCATTTTTATTGGTGGGGAGTGGGGCGATCATGTGTTTCAAAGCCTAATAAAGCCACAGAACTCCTAAAAACTAGCCTAATGTGATCTTAGTAGGATTAAAATGAAAGGTTTTCAAACCTCATTTTAGTAAGGCCCACGACATTCTCAAACAAACAAGTGAAATGTGGTCTAGATCTGGTTGAAAATCCACACTCAAAGAGTAGTTGTCAATGTTTCACTGTCAAACCAGGAAAGGGTATCTAGTGGGGTCCCATTGAGGTCAGTCCTGGGTCCAGTACTATTCAATATTTTTATTAATGACCTGGATAATGGAGTGGAGAGTGTGCTTATAAAATCTGCAGATAACACCAAGCTGGGAGGGGTTGTAAGCACTTTGGAGGACAGGATTAGGATTCAAAACAACCTTGACAAATTAGCAAATTGGTCTGAATGCAACAAGATGAAATTCAATAAAGTGCAAAGTACTTCACTTAGGAAGGAAAAGTCAAATGCATAACTACAAAATGGGAATAACTAGATACGCTGAAGTACTGCTGAAAAGGATCTGGGGGTTATAGTGGATCACAAATTGAATATGAGTGAACCATGTGATGCAGTTGAAAAAAAAAGCTAGTATTCTGGGGTGTATTAACAGGGGTGTCGTACATAAGACACAGGAGGTAACTGCTCTATTCAATACTGGTGAGGCCTCGGCTGAGTATTGTGTCCAATTCTGGGCACCACACTTTAGCCTTCAAAGGCTAATGAATTTTGACTTGGAATGGATTTCAAAGGATAACCTAAAAGTTAGACTCCATCTTCCATTATTCTAAGTGCGTTAATATATTTTAGCAGCTTCCAAGGTCACTTGTCCCCTTATTTGAGAACAGTCACCCTTCACTATTCCTATCAATACATTATAAATCTATCTGGTACCAATAATTGCCAGACACCTATAAATTCTAAATGCTCTCTTAACCACACAACTCAACATTATCCTGCTGCTCAAGTGTAGGGCACTGCATTGCTCTCCTGACTTCCACCACTAGCCCTAAACGTCTCTACCTAGGGCTGCATTTTCCAAGCCAACTACATTTCAGGTAAGAATCACCTCCCCTTTTCCCACTTTGCTTCCACACAAGTCACGCCTTGTATTGAAAGATAAATTTAAAAAAGAGGATACTTCTCAGCATTACACTCCACAAACTTCAAGAGCTTTGCTAAAGATAAGGAATATTTGCTTAGTGTAATAAGAACTACTTATGACTGGTGTCCTCAATAACAGGACTTCAACTGGAGGCACAAATAATGGCACATAAACTTGGAACTCTAAACCAGGAAGTGCACAGACACACTCCAGAGAGGATCCACACATCTCTATAATCCAAAGTCAGAACTGATTTTGAGACAGTCAGATCATTACCTTAGATGCCAGGTTGTCTACTAGTGCAATCATGGAGTTCTTAAAAAGGGTAGCAGCAGTCAAGGGTCGCTTGGTCACTTCTGTGATACTCAATTTACCTTCAGGCCACATCATCTTCAACACAGGATTGGAGCTACAAGGCCAGAGTTAGAGGAAGCAGTTTGTTTACTTATGAAGATTCTAACAAGGTGTCAGTGGCAGTAACTAATTTTACTGTGCTCTAAATTAGACAATTAATTTCTGGGTCAGAGAATGATGGCGATCCCAGTTCTTTTGACAGATTGGCTAAGCCAATACATCAGTTTGATGCTACAAAACTCTACTGTTTATTAGTTAATTAATTTATGGTACAAGGTTATTACTGAATACACTGGTAGCATGGCAAGCACACATTCTCCTAGCTAGATAATGGTAGAACGGAAAGTGGTTTGAGAGATTTCCTCTTTATAGTCATTAGTCTAGCCAGCATAAATATGTGCATAAAAGAGGGCCCAAAATTAAGATCAGTAGCCTAAGAAATTAATATGAACCACCACATAATCCACTCCTCCCTTTAAGATGCATAGTATTTTATTTCAAACACTCCTGGTGACAGATTAGCTTGACTAGCTGCCTGGGCATTAAACTAGCAACAAAAGGAGAAGCTATTACAAATATAAACAAGTCATACTCAAGGTATCATGCATATAAAGAATCAAGAAGTTAAGGGATGCAAAGAGAAAAAAATTCTTTAACCGCCTATATACTGATGCTATGAGAAATCAGAAATGTTTGTTTATGGGGGAAAATGGACATAATTGGTATTACTGAAATCTCAGAGGAGTCACATGATCAGTAAGTGAAAAATCATTATATACAACCTATCTGTGAAGGACAGAGTGGGCAGAAAAGGGATGCCCTTACCATCTTCAGAGAAAGACACTTCAGAAGTGAGAGACCTAGAATGCTTATGAATCAATGTACAGTATTAACTGATAAGTCACAACATGGAGTATTGGTCTGGGGTCTATAATAGATGAATAGGACAGAGAACAGGATGAACAATTCCTTAAAAAATACATCTAGAATGTGTAGAAAGAAAAGCAGCATTATCCTGGGGGATTTCAGTCAGAGGGACACATGCTGCAGATCTAGGGTGCTTTACTAGTGGCAGCATGAGGAGTTTCTAAGAATTATAGATAATTTTCTAGCACAAGTAGTATTACACCCATCAAAAGGTAACTCTATATTATAACCTCTTTCTGATGGATAAAGATGACTGATAAGTAAAAATTAGTTGTTGCTTATATGGAATGATTGGTTACATTCATGTGCCAACAGAATACAGCCCAAACCAGTGATATATATTTGACACTATAAAAAGGGCCAACCTCTCAAAGCTTGAAAACAAGAAAAACTGTGGGTAGAAAAATAAACGAAAAAACAGTTGAGCAAAAATAAAGTATTCTTAGACAACTGCTGACTTAGGTGCCGAAAACACTCAATTCCAGACATGAAAGGTTTCTTCAGTTAAAAAAATCCTATTAAAATATTCATAAAATCAGAAAAGGAGAAGCTGAGAGCAATGACTATAAATAATTAATTATAAAATGCAGACAATTAATAAAGGAAGAAAAGGTACCAATGAAAAAAATCTGTGGCTAGTAGGGCCAAGGACAGTAAGAAATTATATTTAAAAAATCAGGAACAAAAAAAATCCAAGCAGTAGTATAGGTCCATTATTAGATAAGAATGATACAGTTGTTAATAATGAGGTAGAAAAAACAGAAGTGCTCATTAATATTTCTGTCCTGTGTTTGGAAAGAAGCTAAAACGTGGAGTCACGTCTTACAGTGATAATGAAATGCTTTCTATTCTAACAGTAAATAGGCAGGTTGTTAAACAGCATCTATCAAAGTTAAATATTTTAAACCTGCAAGGCCTGATAACTTAGAACATAAGAATGGCCCTACTGGGTTAGATCAAAGGTCCATCTAGCCCAGTATCCTGTCTTCCGACAGCGGCCAGTGCCAGGTGCCCCAGAGGGAATGAACAGAACAGGTAATCATCAAGTGATCCATCCCCTGTCGCTCATTCCCAGCTTCTGGCAAACAGAGGCTAGGGACACCATTCCTGCCCATCCTGGTTAATCGCCATTGATGGACCTATCCTCCATGAATGTATCTAGTTCTTTTTTGAGCCCTGTTATGGTCTTGGCCTTCACAACATCCTCTGGCAAGGAGTTCCACAGGTTGACTGTGCGTTGTGTGAAGAAATTTTAAACCTGCTGCCTTTTAATTTCATTTGGTGACCCCTAGTTCTTGTGTTATGAGAAGTAGGAAACACTTCCTTATCTACTTTCTCTACACCAGTCATGATTTTAGAGACCTCAAATCATATTTCCCCTTACCTGTCTCTTTTCCAAACTGAAAAGTCCCAGTCTTATTAATCTCTCCTTATACAGAAGCCGTTCCATACCCTTAATCATTTTTGTTGCCCTTTTCTGAACCTTTTCGAATTCCAATATATCTTTTTTGAGATGGGGCGACCACATCTGCACACAGTATTCAAGATGTGGGCATACCATGGATTTATATAGATGCAACATGATATTTTCTGTCCTATTATCTATCCCTTGCTTAATTATTCCCAGCATTCTGTTTGCTTTTTTGACTGCTGCTGCACACTGAGTGGATGTTTTCAGAGATCTATCCACAATGACTCCAAGATCTCTTTCTTGAGTGGTAATAGCTAATTTAGACACCATCATTTTATATGTATAGTTGGGATTATGCTTTCCAATTATCAACATTAAATTCCATCTGCCATTTTGTTGCCCAGTCATCCAGTTTTGAGAGATCCTTTTGTAGCTCTTCGCAGTCTGCCTGGGTCTTAACTATCTTTAGTAATTTTGTATCATCTACAAATTTTGCCACCTCACCGTTTACCCCTTTTTCCAGATCATTTATGAATATGTTGACTAGGACTGGTCCCAGAACAGACCCCTGGGGGATACCACTATTTACCGCTCTCCATTCTGAAAACTGACCATTATACCTACTCTTTGTTTCCTATCTTTTAACCAGTTACCAATCCATGAGAGAACCTTCCCTCTTATCCCGTGGCAGCTTACTTTGCATAAGAGCCTTTGGTGAGGGACCTTGTCAAAGGCTTTCTGAAAATCTAAGTACACTATATCCACTGGATCCCCTTGGTCCACATGCTTGTTGACCTCCTCAAAGAATTCTAGTAGATTGGTGAGGCATGATTTCCCTTTACTAAAACCATATTGATTCTTCCTCAACAGATTATGTTCATCTATATGTCTGACAATATTGTTCCACACATCTTTAAGAAATTGGCAGACGAGCTCTCTGAGCAACTTTTGTTATTTGACAAATCTTGGAATACTGGGGAAGTTGCAGAGGACTGGAAAAAAACTAATGTATCAGTAGAGTCCCACCGGGGTCTGTTTTTAGCTAAATGCTATTCAATATTTATCAGTGATTTAAAAGAAAATATTAAATCATTTCTAACACGTTAGCAAAGGACACATAGACTGGAGAAATGGTAAAGGATGAGAACGTGTCCACTGTACAGAGTGACCTGGATCGCCTAGTAAGTTGGGTTCAAGCATGCATTTTAATATAGCCAAATAGATGGGCTGGGGGACTGGATCCTGGAAAGCAGCAACTCTATAAGGGGCTTAGAATCATGGTGGATAATCAACTGAACATGAACTCCTACTGTAGCATGGCAGTTGAGGTGGCTACTGTGATCCTTTGATGTATAGGCAGGGGGAATACTGACAGTAAGGAGGAGCTATTACTGCTGTAGAAAACATTAGTGAGACCATTACTGGCATACTTATTCTCTGTTGGTGCCCACACTTCAAAATGGATGCTGACAAATTGGAAAGGGTTCAGAAAAGAGCTACAAGAACGATGTGAGGTCTAGAAAACCTGCCTTACAGCAAGAGACTAAAGAAACTCAATATAGACAGTTCATCCAAGAGATGGTTAAGAGGTAATTTGATCAGGGTCTACATGGGGGAAAGATTTCCTATTTGTAAAGGGCTCCTTAATCCAACAGACATAGGCATAGGAAGATCCAATGGCTAGATGCTGAAATTAGACAAATTCAGACTAGAAATGAGGTGCAATTTGTTTATAGTGAGGGTAATTAACCACTGAAACAGTTTACCTGGCAATCTGGTGGATTTTCAATCACTTGAAACCTTTAAATCATGATTGGATGTCATCCTAGAAAAGTTATGTTCGAGCTCATCCAAAAATTATGGGCTTTATGCAGAAGTTACTGGGTGAAATTCTCTAGCCTGGGTATTCATGATGTCATACTAGATGATCATAAATGTCCTTCTAGTCTTAAAAATCTATGAACTAGACTATAACAAAATATTTTGGCAGAATATAAAATAGTGTACAAAACAGGTCGGCTGATCAAAGCTTTGTTCCTACCTGTTATACATTAGGCGTTTGAAGTCTTGGAATAAAGTGTCCTTGTTTTTGTCAATAAATCCTGTGACTGAATATCTATAAAAGAGAAAAACAGTCAGTTGCACAGAGGTCAAATATCACCACGGCCACAGCTTCTGGGTATTCGGTAGAAAAAGCTTATGTGCACCAACGTGGAATCACATACAAGGGAAGAAATGTGGTCAATGGGTGGGACTGGGAGACAAGGGACAAGCTCATTCTCAGATCTGCCACTAACTTGCTGTATAACCTTTTGGGTAAAATCACTTCCTTTATGTGCCTAAATTTCTCCTTCTTTAAAATGGGAATAATGCTTCCCTAATTTGAGAATGCACTTTTAAATCTACAGATGAGAAACAATAAGAATTATTTCAAACAAACAAACTGTGGGCTCTAGTACTGTCTGCAGGTGCTTTCACAATTCACTTCTGTCCTCTTAGATTTGCAAGCTCTCAGCCGCTAGCAGTGCAAAAGTTTCAACCACAGAGTTATCACCTCGTTCTTTTTCCCTAAGCTACTAGAGAAATTTGGCTGTTTCAGAATCATAGAAGCTTAGGGTTGGGAGAGACCTAAGGAGGTCATCTACTCCAACCCTCTGCTCAAAGCAGGACCAACCCCTGTCAGCTGTGTCTATCAATAACGCTATATTCAACAGAGACGCCACAAGAAATCCACCTTCACTTAATGGACTCCATAAAGCCTGGATTTGTCACCTTTATAAAGTCCCAAATTGTTCCATCATTAACATGCTTCAGGTATTGGCTATACAAGAAAGTTGGACTGATTTAATGATTCTTTTAGGGTTTGTCTACACCAAGAAATATGTCAGAATAGTTATTCTGGAGTAACTTTCCATGTCACCACTCTTATTCTGGAATAAGAGTGCCTTTGTCCAATTTAATTTAATCCACATCCAAAAATAATTATTCCAAAATAGCTACTTTGGTAAAAAATGTTAAGTGTAGAAAAACCCTTAAGGCAATTTAGTTAGATTGATGCACGCTGCTTGTGTGAACACTCTTGTTTCAGTTTAAGGGTGCCCTATTTTAATTCAATTAATCTTAAATTGATTCTTTATCCATTTAAGATAAATTGATATGGCACTAAACAGATTTCTTAGGTCAGTACAACTTTCTTGTGTAGACAAGACCTAAGCTTCTCTTGGGAAACTTCATTTTTCTTCCTCCACCCTTCATATTCCCTAACTTCCAAGAAGACTGTATACCATGTAGCAAGAACAAGTATGGCACTGAATTTTATTTTAAATCTGTTGCATTTATCACATAGAAATGAGAACACAATGTAGGTTAAAGCTGGACAAGAACAAGTAGAAGGTGCACCTTCTAATACAGAAAGGAAACACTCACATAACGTCTCCCGCGTAGTGCTTAATCCGAAAGTCTCTATCAAACTCCAGGATCTTGTCTGTCGCACAAAGCTAAAATAAATCACACGTTTATTAAAAGGAAGGCATTAAATGTAAGCATTGAAATTCCACAAAGTTCAGAGCACAGCAGCTTTTAGATTTCACCTTGTATTACAACAAACCGGAATTGTAAAATTATTCTATTTTCTACAGACAAATCATCATGTACTTTATCCAGATTTTTTTGGATAAATAAAACACAAGGACACAAAAATAAACCATGTTCCAAGATCCAGATTTTTTTCAATTAAATAGTCACTGACACCTCCAAAAACTGTTCCTTTTTTATTAATAAGAATATGTGCATGGAAACAGAACTGCTTTGCCTTGTGTTCCCCCATCTGCTCCTATTTATTCCTTCATGGCATCATAATCACCTCCAAATCAACATAACATGGTATCAGTAACTCAGGATGACTGAATGACGTGTAAGGTATTTACAAAGCATCAGTCAATCTGTCCCCCCAATATTTAGAGAAAAGGGGGGTGATGTAATATCTTTTATTGGACTAACTTCTGTCGGTGAAAGAGACTAGCTTTCGAGCTTACACAGAGCTCTTCTTCAGGTCTGGAAAACATACTCAGAACATCACAGCTAAATACAAGGTGGAACAGATTGTTTAGAATAAGCAGTTAACACACATTTAAAAGGACCTTCAAGGTGAAGTGGCCTGTTAACACTCCTCCAGTCATAGGTGGAAAGGAAGGGAGGGGAGAAAAAAAACAATTGGGGGGGATTGTTAGTGGGTTATAGATTATTGTAATAAGTCATAAACCCAGTGTCTATTCAGTCCATGATTTTCAATATCTAGCAAAGTTATGAATTTAAGTCTCAGGCTCATCTTTTGAAAGTGTTGTGCAGGTTTCCTTTGAGGATGAGGTCCCACCAATAACTGGCAGCCAATAAACACACAAGCTAGAACTTTCACAGCTCTGCTAGTCAGTGATTAACCCCAGGATGCTCAATAGTGGCCAAAGCTATTGCTCTATCCCTGTTGCCACAGAATGCTCTTAATATGCTGTTAGACTGTTGTGCTGCAAAGAAGATACATAAACAGCCCACAACACAGGAGTCACTAGCATCTAAAACAAAATGCAAATAGTTTTAGCCGAGTTTTCCTAAAAAAGCTGGAACTAGCAAAGAAATGGAAGTGACTGCACATTAGTTACAAGCACAAGACCACAAGGCTGGACCATCCAGTAGCCATGCTACACACATGAAGGATAATCCAATCTGACGACACCTTTTAAGATGGTGCATTGGCTTCATTTTTAAGGATGTTCTTTTTGGCAGTTTTGTTTGGTCTCTTGTGGAAAGGCCTAATAAAGTCCATCTCAAACTCTTACTTGGTTTTATATCTTTGCTCCCTATTTCTTTATGAAGCACTAGCCTGGCTTTTTGCATCCTGTCAATCTAATAGTGCTTGCCAGCAGAAATATGTAGAAAGACAAGTCTGGCCAAGAAAACCTGAGAAATGCCTGACAGTACAGGATTGCACAGTATGGGGAGGAGGTGACCAGCCCT